TACTCATTAACGAAAATTATTCTCAATCACAAAGACGCACTCTAAATCTAAATTAGTAAAACTAATTATTTGTAAAATCTTGGTCAATTTTTTTTAGCAAATAGTGAAAAATCATTAATAGACTAATTATTAATGAAAAAATAATTGAAAAAAATAGTCAAATTTATCTAATTGAATTAGTTAACAGTTTACTGAACGGTTATTTTGACATAAACGAAAAATTAATTCAATTGATAATTAATTATTTTTAACTAATTGATTACTAGAATCAAGCATTTTAATCACTGACTGAATTTTTACTATCAAATTAGTTATGTTTAACTTATTCAAACTTAGAAAGTAATTTTGCTTTTGAAATATTTTTTTATTTCCATTTATAGAAAATAAAATATAAAAATTTTATAAAAAATATTTTTTTGTCGAATTTTAAACACTTTTTTATTTTTTTTTTTTAATTTTATTTGAATTAAATTTTTTTAATTTTTATTTTACAATTTCAAATCAAAATAGAGTCTAAAATTATTCACAAATAATTGAAAATTTTAATTTTAATTTGAAATACTCAGGTGCTTATTTAAAAATATATATTTTTTTTAAGTCACAGTAAATGTTTTGAAAACCAATGAATCACAATTGAATTTTAGAGAAGTAATTAAAATTTATGTAAATTAATTGAAATTATTGTAAAAACGTAAAGTCTTCGATATATATGTATTTTTGACACACTTAATGAGATAAATAGAGACAAATATTGTTATTTTTTTTTTTTTCTTTATGTTGTATAATAATTATTATTATGAAATTATTTTTATTATTCTCAAAGTGAAAATACTTGTATAATAAATTTATATAAAAATTAGAGAAAAAATGAAATAAAGTAATTTAATTTATAAACTTTAATTTTATAAACGTTACAAATTAAAATCGTAATTTTTTTTTTATTATATTTGTTTGCATATATTTTTACTCTGAAGAAGAAAATATAATTTTTCTACGTTTGGCGAAAAATTTCAAAATTTTCAATATTACAATTTATAAGAATTAAAAAAAAAAACAAAATGTTTAAACAAATTTTTTTTTTTTGATATTGTCGATAAAGAACCGCCGAAATAATTAAATTTGTCTTAATACAAAATTTTATAGTACAAAAATATATTTTGTAAGTTAAAATATAGAGCAATTAGTTTTAAAGGATGTTACGAGATTTATAAGTAGTTTTTTAATAGAAAAAAAAAAAAAAATGTTAGAAATGGTTCAAAAAAATTTTTTTGTACATAGTTTTTTGTCTAGAATGTGATTATAGGTATAAAATAAAATAATTTCTTAATTTTTATCCTCAAAGGCTGTAGAAAAAAAAAGTTGAACTTTTTCTAATATTTTTTTTTTTTTTAATTTAATAGTGAAAGTAGATAATATTCAAAATTTATAATTTACATTTTATAGTCGATTTTTATAATTCGTACATATTTTTAGATAAAATTAGTATTTACGAGACTGACAATTATAACTTGATTTGGAAGCAGCTAAGTTCTATTTTTAAAAAATAATTTTTTTTTTCGAGAACAATTTTTTGTTTCTGTATGTGTGTGTATGTGTGTTTCTTCATTTTTAAAAAATATTTTTTCGATAATTAATTAATATTTCCGTTTATCTTTTCGTCTTTTTTGAAATTATTTTTTCGTATTTGTCATACAAAAAAAAGAAAAATTGTAAAAAATTAATTTTGAAAATAAATTGTATTATTAAAAGAAGAATCGATTATTTCTTATTTCTTTAGTTCCCCCCCCCAAAAAAAAAAAAAAAAAATTGCAAATAGTTCGATTTTTTCAAAATGAATTAAAGTTTATAGTAAAGTAATTAAAAAATTAAAATTTTAATATTTTTTAAATAGAAAGTAAATTGTAATTATTTTTTTCGCAACTTCTACATTTTTATTTTTTAATCGAGTTAAAGAATACAAGTATAAATTTGTTTTTTTTTTGTGGTAAATTAAAAATAAAAAATTTTTTTTAGTAATTATTCATGTTAGATAAATATTCATGTGCATTATTTATATATTAATAAACAAATTAATTAACAAACAATTCCTTTTTCATTTCAGGTAGGAGAAACTATATAAGAAATATAGTTGTGAAACCATTTCCCTGTACAAAATGTAACAGATCATATTTGAATAGGTCAACTTTAAATCGACATCTTCGAGAAGAATGTGGAAAATTACCAACCTGGTTCTGTTCCCATTGTCATAAGGCATTCAAACAACGCTCCAATTTTCAACGTCATGTACTCAATGTCCATGGAAATCTACAATCAATAATAAATCTATAACAATTTTTCATTCAAATTAATTAATTATAAATTAATTAAATAGTCATTATTATTAAAAAAAAAAAAAAACGGAGGAAAAATAGCCTTCAAGGCAATTCGAGGAAAAATTAATTTTTCAAAAATTATTTTATTTATTAATTTTATACATACTGGACTATTTTTGTAAATAAAAGTATGTAGTTTGTTTTTATGAATGTGGTTAAAATTGAACCATTAATATTGTAAATGTGAAAAATATTTTTTTTTCTTGTTAAAACGTTACATTGTTTAAAAATAATTTTTTTGAAAATTTTAAACAGTGCAATAAAAAAAAATAGACTGGATTTTTAATATTTGTATTTTGCATATATTTTTAAGGCCAAGTCCAAGTGAGGCAGCGCCATCTACATTAAAACTATAATTTTGGAAAATTTTCAACAGCCTTTTCTCGAAAACAAGAAGGTAAAATGCGTTTTTCTTTATGGATAATTGATTATTAGCAAGAAATACACCAGCTAAAACTTTTTTTTGAGTTAAGATGATGAAAAAAATTTCATGTCGATAAATTAAATATGAGCAGTTTTTTCACAAAAATTGTAACAGTACTTTCTCGGAATTAACAATCAAGAATACAATTTCCATTTGGAAAATTAATAAACGAAAAACAATTCACCAGCTAAGATTCACCAATCACGAAAATAAGAAAAAAAAATTTTATTAAATATTTAACATATTGATACTGCTTTACTGATTGTGACAGCCCTTTGGTAGATTATGTATTTCAGGTGGTTAGCAACAGCGCCAATCTCCTCCTTTCGGCAAATCTGCGAAACGTCTGGTGACATATATAACCTGCCAAACGGCTGTCATAATGAGTAAAATATGTTATGTTAAAATACTTTTTTTTGTTATTTTCGTGATTGGTAAATCTTAGGTCGTGTATTTTTTAGCGTTTATTAATTTTCCAAATGGAAATTGCATTTTTGATTGTAATTTCTGAGAAAGTACTGTTACAGTTTTTGTGAAAAAACTGCTCATATTTAATTTATCGACATGAAATTTTTTTCATTATTTTAATTTAAAAAAAGTTTTAGCTGGTGCATATCTTGCCAATAATAAATTATCCATAAAGGAAAAAGCATTTTACCTTCTTGTTTTCAAGAAAAGGCTGTTGAAAATTTTCCAAAATTTTAGTTTCAATGTAGATGGCGCTGCCTCACTTGGACCTGGCCTTAAACATTTTTTTTAAATATATTATATGCTAATGTGCCATTTTTAGTATTATTATTATTGGCGATTCAAACAGCTACACTAGCGCCACAGTTGAACTAATTTAGGTGTGACTCGCTCTAAAGCAGTCTCTGTTTTGACAGTTTATTTCAAATTATTTAATTATTCTGATATTTTTATTGCGTTTGTAAAATTATTTTTTAGCGTTAAATAAAAAAAAATAATTTAAAACATTTGGAGTGCTACAGAGCGAGTCACGCCTAAATTAGTTCAACTGTGGCGCTAGTGTAGCTGTTTGAATCGCCAATTATTATTTTCATTATTCGAATTTGCATTTGTGTATATGTACATTTAGTGAGCAATATAATGCTAGGAAAGTGTAGAATTAATTTAAATATAAGAACAATGGCGCACTCACACCTTTTTGGCTGCCTGCAGGTTACCATGGCAACGCACGAGTGTGAATAAGACAGAAAATTTGAATATTCAAATTTTTAAATTTTCTGTCGCACTCACTCTCATGCATTGCCATGGTAACCTGCAGGCAGCCGCAAAAAGGTGTGAGAGCGCCTTTAAAATTATACAACGCATTGTGATAAGTGAAAAAAGAATTAGTATTATAAGATTATTTTGTACAAATTATGAAATTAAAGGAGCTTTTTAAAAGTGAAAATTATTTTATAATATATTGTGTCCTTGTTAAAATACCTTTATTTATTGTTTATAATATTTTAGAACCTTTTTATTTATTCACAAATATAGTAAGTACAAATCACAAATAAAAAGTTTCAATTACGTGTCAAAATACATAAATTTACAGCAGACAATGTTATAAATACTACCGCGCATGCGCGAATAACTTTTAGTACTTTTAAGGCCAACGCACAATAGATTCGCGAAAATCGTTCAGAACGGTACGATTTTGCCTATTGTGGAACCAACATTAACAATAATTATTTTAAGATTAAATTTCAATAGAAATAACTTAAAATAATTTATAAAAATTAATTTTCATTAAAAAAAAAAAACATAACTAAACATTAAAGCAACAAGTTTAAGACTTAAATTATTTTTTTTATTGTTTTTTAAACATTTTCTTATTTTAAAACATTTTAAATAAGAGCGCTTCTTTTTCTATCAATTAGGCATTTTACCTTGTGACGTCAGAGGCTGATGACGTCGAAGCCTGGAGGGACAACAAACGAAAAAAACAATAAAGAACTGTCAAACAAGTGATTTTGAGGTTAAGTTTTTGAAGTTTTCAACGTTACCAAATGTATAGATCTGCCGCCCCAACAAGAATAACCGTATCTGCATTTAGGATGAGTCACCTACTTGCCACTGCCACTGCCACCAATAAGTGACTTATCCAAAATGTAGTTACTGCTACTCTTGTTGGGACGGCAGAGATGGACTATAGTAAAATTATTTGTTGTCCCTCCAGGCTTCCAGCTGATCGGGCAGCCATATTTGAAAGTGAAATACCTAATGAGAGGATTATAGTAGCGCAAGCGCAGTGCACCTGACGCTGCATCTGTCAAGAGGTTATGTTTACAAAAGTGACAATTTTCATTTCCACTTTATTATTTATTATATATAAAGTATACTATTTTGCATCACTAACTTCTAAAGTTGAAATTTAAACAAAAAACACTGTGTGCCTTTTTTATAACAATACGTAAAGTCATTATTTTACATATTGAAATTTACTTTACGCATTGTAAATTTTTGTAACATTTTTGTACTCGTGAATTTTCAAAATGTTTTATTTTTACATTCAGAATTATTTTGTTGTTTCTATAACAAATATAATATATATATATATTTTTTTTCTTTTCTCTGGAAAATTGCATTTAAATATATATATTTTTTTTAATAATATGTTATTATGTTGTGATTTTAATTCGAGATTTTTTTTTATCTTGTGAGTTTTTTTTTTTTTACAGGTAGAGTGAAATTTTTGAAGAGGTTGGGACAAGATTTTTTTTTTATCTTTGATTCTCAGATAAGGTATACAGAAAAATATAAACAAAGTTTACAAATATATTCAGATCAGAATTATAAATAAATTTTTAAAAGTAATTCGTATATATACGTTCGCGTATTTATTTACAGAAAAATTTTTTAAAATGTTTTTTTTTTTATATAAATAACGTTCATTTTTCCAAATAAACTAATAAATATTTTTTATTATTTTTTTTTATTTAAAAATGTTTAATTTTTATTATTGTAACAATTGTCAAATTTTAATTTAGATGAAATAAAAAATTTATTTTTACCAAACAAATTTTTTGTTTTGAAACAAATAAATGGTTATTTAATTCAAATAAATTCAGAAAATTTGTCACCTTTTCTTGAAATGGTTTTATGCTTTTCACATATATATGACGCGTTCTGAAGCAAGGGATTTAAGAAGTGAACAAAAATTATAGGTTATGTTTATGATAGTTTCACGTTAATTGAATTTTTATTTTTTAAATTATGTAAAATCAAAACTGGTTTTTATTTTCGATACAATGATGACTTAAACATCAATGGTGTGTATTGGAAGTTCATTATCTTTGTCTATTTTTGCCACAAACTATCATAAACATAACCTATAATTTTTTGCTTCTTCGTCTCTTTCTTCAGAGCAAAATAAATGCAAAATTATCATTTTGAGTAGTTTTATTAAGTTGAGCTGTACCATAAAGTTACCATTAAAATTTTTTTTAGAAATTGTAATATAATTAAATAATAATAATAAAATGTTTTGTTTGTATATTGGTATATTTGTTTAAAAAATATTTGTCAAAACAATTTGTTCTTTTTTTTTTTTTGATAAATATTTATTTCAACAAATATACCAAAACCATTAGACCAAATAAATAAAAAAACATTTTTCTATTATTAAAATTTTTATGGCTGTTAAATTTAAAAAATAATTAATGTTAATATAGTATTTATGTTTAATGCTTAAATTTGACTAAATGTTGTTTAAAACTCTTATTGTATTTCGTTTTTATTTTATTTTTTATTTAATGCTTCATTAACAATTTGTTTTAAAAAATTTATTATCAAATGAAACTTTAAATTATTTTTTCACTTATTTTTTTTCATTTTTATAATTTATTAGCAACTAAAACTGGGAATTTTACAACTCTTTTTTTTTAATTAACTTACATTCAAAAATCGGGTTAAAAATTATGTAAATTAAAAAAATTGTATTTAGTAAAAAAAAAACATAGATTACTTTTTTTATAATCAATAAATTTGACCTTTTTTTGGTAATTTTTATTAAAATAATTTCTTTTTTTCTGCTATTATTTCCATAGGTGGTTATGAATACTTCAAACGAGTGTGGAAATGTGACTGTGGAAAAAGCTACAAATGGAAAGAATCACTCAGTCTACATAGAAGAATGGAATGTGGAATTTTACCGAAATTTCCCTGCAATTTATGCGGTAGAAGGTTCAAGCACAAACATCATTTAAATAAACATCAAACTTCTATACATAAATATGAGATGCAATCACCTTGTTAAATAAAAAAAAAAAGTATATAAACTTTTGAAATATATAATCTCTAATTATTTCAATAACCAGACTCTACATTTTGAGGGCATGTGACAAAACTTTTATTATTAAAAAAAAAAAAAATAATAATGTCATCAAAACGAATATTACAAATAAAATTATATATTATTTTATAGGTGAAAAAAATCATTCTAAAGAAATTATTTTTTTCATCTACAAAATAATATATAATTTTAATTTTTCATCTATAATAAAATTGTCGAACAGAGTGATAAATTCATTAATACATTCAAAACTATATATATAATTTTGTATTTATAATATAAAAGTAAATTTTTAATTTTTTGTATTTTATTTTGTATTTATTTTAATAAAAATATTTTTAGAAATTTTTAGCTGTTTTAGAGATATTTTTTCAAAAAAAAAGAATTTTTTTTACTAATACTAATACATTTTTTTTATATATAATATAATTTTGTAATTTTTAATTCAAAATTGAATAAAACAAATTTTTTTTCTTTTTTTTCGTAAATTAGAATATTTTTTACGTCTGGTATTAACAAATCTTTATTTAACATTAACAAATATTTTGAGCTTTGTTAAGATTTTCCTCTAAGATTTGTAATAAAGGACAAAAAAAAAAAAAAAATTTTTTTTTGTGATTTATGAATTGTGTTTTTTTTATTGACAAAAAAAAATATTTCTTTTTCAGACCCTATGAAGAAGCAGTGGGTCTGTTTTCAATGTGGTAAGAGATATTCGTGGCGAGGATCACTTCAAAATCATCGTCGTGTTGAGTGCCAAAAAGAACCAACCTTCACCTGCCCCGTATGCTTACGAAGATTTAAACATAAGCATAGATGGCAGTCTCATGCAAAATGCATGCATAAATTGGATTTAATTTAGAGTAAATATTATTTTTTTTTTTAATTTTTATTTTTTAATAAGTATATTCAGATTTTTTTCTTCTTTTTTTTTTTTTTTAATTTACAAAATATTTTCATTATTCAATTTTTTTTAATTCACAATATTTTTTTTCAAATTTTTTTTCTGTTTTTTATTTTACAATATTTTTTTTCAAATTTTTTTTCTGTTTTTTATTTTACAAAATATTTTTTCAAATTTTTTTTCTGTTTTTTATTTTACAAAATATTTTTTCAAATTTTATTTCAATTTAGAAAATGTTTTTTTTTTAGTTTTACACATGTACAGACTTTAAATGCAATTAAATATTGATCTTGATTTATATTATTATTGTTTGTGAATGAATGAAAGAAATTTAAGAGAAATTGAGAGATTAATAATAAAAATTGGGAAAAAAGTTCCCAAAATGTTTATTGTTTCAGTCTAAAAAAAAAAATATCTTTTATTTTAAAGATATGAGAAACTATTTCTTTTTTTTTTACATTTTTTTAGTCATTTATATAGATTTAATTATTTTTGTGACTATACGATATGTGATCTGGATTTCAAAATTCAAAATGGTGGATTCAATATGGCGAAAGTTTTTTTTTTTTAAATTAATGAGATTCGTTTCAAACATCAAAATGGTAGACATTAAAAAAGAAGTAAGTAGCTTTTTTTATATTTTATAATTTTTTTTATATTTTTTGTATAAATTATTATAATTTTGTTAATTTAAAAAATTTTATTTTATTTTGCCTTTCAAAAAAAAAAATATAATACAATATATTATTATTAACCAATAAAAACCCAATAATTCAAAAAAAAAATCCTCAAAAACTTCTAAAAATCAAGTTCCAGTCGTATAGAATTATTTTTTTGTATTTTTTCTTCATTTTGGATCCGCTATTTTAAATTTTGAAAAACTAACATCAAATTCGTAATCAGCGACCCCAAAAATCCCCCGAGTAACAAATTTCAACTAAATATGCACAAAAAAGAAAAACTTTCGCCATATTGGATCCGCCATTTTGAATGTATCTAAACTGACATTGGATTCATAATAAGCGTACTATTTTCCATTAAAATCGCAAAAAAAGTGAAAATTAATTTTCTTTTACCAAATATCTCTTTTAGTAGACCAGATCACATATATATGTATTTCATACATAATTTAATTTTGTAACAAATAAAAAGAATTTTGTTATTTATTTATACAAAATGATAAAAACATTTATTAGACATTTAAAAATATTGTTTTAAATAAAAAAATAATTTTTTTTTTTCATAAAAAATAGTTTTTTTACGTGCAATTTTTTATATTTAAAAAAATTATTATTTTTGTTAATATATATATAAAAAAAAAAAAATTTGGTTACATTATTCATGTATTTCTACGACCATTGTATGTCAAATTTTGTACAGTGTACATTATGTGTGATATTATAATAATATGTTAAAGATATTTGTCTCAAATTCCTAATAAATGTTATAAAAAATTTACAAAAATAAATTTTTTCAAAATAATTATATATAAATAAATATATGTATGTTATTTTTATGAAATGTGCCTTCTGTTTAAAAAAATTAAAATTTTTTTTTAATTTTTTTTTTTTTTTTTAATATTTTTAATATAAAATTGATTTTTTTTAGCACTTATGAGGATTTGGACTTGTATGCAGTGCGGTAAACAATATCATTGGAAAGACTCACTAAGGAAACATATACGATTGGAATGTATGAAAGAACCATCTTTTTTTTGTCTTCATTGTGGAAGAAAATTTAAACATAAACATCGATTACAATCTCATACGAGACTTAAACACCATATCTAAATAAATATATATATATGGGTCATTCTATGTGAAATTTTCAAAAAAAAAAAATTTTCCAAATAAAAAAAATTAATATTTTGAAAAAAGCCACTTTTTTAAAAAAAGAAAAAACGAACAAATTTTATAAAATATTATTTTTTGTCTGTTACGTAGAACAGAGAAAACCGCATTTCAAGATTTCGGCTTCTTACGACGTTGAATTTAAAAAAATAATAACTTTCACAATTTTTATCAAATAAAGAAATAAAAAAATACGTATTTTCTTATTTTTCAAATAAAGTTCGAAAAAAATTAAAAAAAAAAAAATTTTTTGATAATTTCCCGTGGAATGCTTATTATATAATTTTTTTAATTTATATTACAAATAAAATTTCCATTTAAAAATTGTGATAATTTGTATATTATAAAAAACGTGTTTTGTAATTTAATTTTAAATAAAGAAAAAAGGTTTAAAATATTTTAATTCAACATTGTAGAAAATAATAATTATTTTTTATTCATCAATAAGGTGAGAAGTAATTTTAATTTATCAAGGTAATTTTTTCTTTTGCTTCTCTCTCTCTCTTTTTTTCTCCCTTTTTTTTCTTCACTCTCGCTGGCAATTTTCTTTAAAAAAAAAAAAAAAATAAAATAAAAATATTTTCACATAAATTTATTGTAGTATGTAGAGATATTTTACATGTGTAAATATTTTGGATAAAAAAAGAATTTTTTTTTTTAAATTCCATTTTACCTGATTTTTGTTTTTTATTTTATTTTTGTAGTTGAAGGAGCATGGACCTGTTTTCAATGTGGAAGAAATTATCGATGGAAGGAGTCATTAACGAGACATTTGCGAGTTGAATGCAATCGCGAACCAGCATTTAGCTGTGAAAAATGTGGTCGTCGTTTTAAGCACAAACATCATTTTACAACTCATAATAGAATTGTTCATTCTTTCGATAAATAAATTAATTAATTATTAAAAAAAAATTATTTCAAGTTACTTACAATTTGTATAAAAAAAAAAAATTTTATACTCACTGCACATAAATTAATTGTTAAAAAAAAACTGTTTTAGATTTAAGATATATAAATAAATATGGCAGAAAGTAAAATGACTTTTTGCAATTTCTTTTTTGATTTTAATTTTGCAATTTTTTTTCTTAACTGATTGTAATTTTATTGCTTTTTTTTTATAACAAGAATGTTTTGAAAATTTACTAATACGTTTTTTTTTCTTGACTTAATTTCTTGCACCCTTTTTGATAAAAAAAAAAAATTTTCTGACAATTTTGTTTTAACCGGTGACAGTATACATTAAGGAATTTTTGCAATAAAAAAAAATTAGTAATAAGTGGATATGAATAATTTTTTAATTAATTTCATAATTATTTTGCAAAAAGTATTTAAAAAAAAAAATTTTTTTTCATGTTTTTAATTTTCTTTAATTGTTTCTATTTTATGTCTAGCTCCAGTTCTCACTGTTTGGATGTGTAATCAATGTGGCAAAAAATATTCTTGGAAAGAAAGTTTATATAAACATTTGCGAATAGAATGCGGCAAAGAACCATCTCATCAATGTGAAATTTGTTTTCGTCGATTTAAACACAAGCATCGATGGCAATCTCACATGAGGCTGAAACATCCAGTTCCTCTTTCATAATAAAAAAATAATAATAAAAAAAAATAATAATTAAAATGAAAAAAAAAAAAATAAAAATAAAAAAATAAAAAAAATAATAATTAAATAAAAAAAAATAAATAAAAATAAAAAAATAAAGAAAATACTAATTGTGAAACAGTTTGAAAGAATAATTTAAAAAAATATATATTATTTATTATTGTTTATTTCATGTATAATTTTTAGTAGATCTTTATACATTGATTTTCAAACCATTATACATAAGGAAAAAAAAAATAATATAACAGAATATAAATTTTATATTATTAATACATAAGTTGTGAAAAAAATGTGTGATTTTTAATCTAAAGAAATTGTTATTTGTTTTGTTATAATATCCGTTTTTTGTTATTGTTATACAATTTTTTTGTTATTTTGCCACTTTGTACTTAATTTTATTATTTACAAAAATTCCAATACCAAAATATTATTTTCCACTTGTGACAAAGAAAACACTTTGAGGCATTTTTTTTTTTAATAATCATAATAATACATGTAGTTATATAAAAAATTATTTTCCAATAAAAAAAAATCAAAAAATCAACTTTTTACTCATTGCAAAAAAAATTAATATAAATTAATTATTATTGGTGTGAAGTATTTTGCATGCTGTTAATCATACATACCTACTAAAAAAAAAAAAAAAAAAAAATTTTATAAATAAATTTTATTCTAATCAAATATTTTTTTTTCAGGTTATATATTGAATAATTATTCATCAACAAATTTTGTCGACTACACGGAAAATGTCAACAAAAATTATCATCAAGAAGAACCAGCTTTTCCTTGTTCAGTGTGTTTTAAAGTTTTCAAACGAAAATATCATATGAAAAGACATATGGATCAAGTTCATGGATATCGACATTTTTCAAAAAAATATGCTTAAATTTTATTTTTTTTTTTGTAACAAAAAAAATAAATTTTATTTTTAGAAAAAAAATAATGTATTTTCGGAAAACAAAAATTAATAAAATGTTTGACTTAAAAAAATTTATTATAATATAATCTAGGTAAAATTGTGAATATACAAAATAAATCATTTTCAATTCAAATTTATGATTTTAATAAAAGTTTATCTAATTTTTTTTAAATTTTCCTGCCAAATTTGTGGTTATGTTTTTGTTTTTTGGTCATTTTTCTCCAAAATTTGACCTAAATTTTGAGGTTATGTTTGTTTTTCGGTCGTTTTTGCCAAATTTTGGCTTAAATTTTAAAAAGTTATGTTTATTTCTTGGTCATTTTCCTCGAAAGTTAGACCTAAATTTTGACGTTATGTTTGTTTCATGTTCTGTTTTTGCCAAATTTTAGCCTAAATTTTGAGGTTATGTTTGTTTCTTGGTCGTTTTTGCCAAATTTTGGCTTAAATTTTAAAGTTATGTTTATTTCTTGGTCATTTTCCTCGAAAGTTAGACCTAAATTTTGACGTTATGTTTGTTTCATGTTCCGTTTTTGCCAAATTTGACCTAAATTTTGAGGTTATCTTTGATTTTTGGTCGTTTTTGCCAAACTTTGGCTTAAATTTTAAAGTTATGTTTATTTCTTGGTTATTTTCCTCGAAAGTTAGACCTAAATTTTGAGGTTATGTTTGTTTCATGTTCCGTTTTTGCCAAATTTTGGCCTAAATTTTGAGGTTATGTTTGTTTCTTGGTCGTTTCCTGACAAAATCACATAACCTTACAATTTAGGTCATTTTTGGCGGAAAAAACAACCTCCCCCTCAACGTAAGGGAGGGGGGCTTGCGACTATATTCAGAGTCTTAAAGCGAACATAACCTCTAAATTCAGGTCATTTTTGGCGGAAAATCCACCCCTCCCCTCAACGAAGGCGGGGGGGGGGGAATTGCGGCTATATTCAGAGTCTTGAAACGAATATAACCTCAAAATTTAGGTCATTTTTGGCCGGAAGATGGGGGGGGCGACTTGCGACTATATTCAGAGTCTTGAAACAGCGGCGGCGGCAATAACTTTTTGTAAAATAGGTAGATATATTCAGAACAGTTTTTACAAATAAAAAGAATAATTTAAAAAAAAATTATTTTATTTAAAAAATTCTACTTCTAAATAACCCAAATACGTGCTATCTGGGAAATAATATTTATAATAGTTCTAATAATTTTTACATTCAGAAAATAGTTTATAATCAATAAAAAAAAAAAAAAAAATTGTTAATGATTCATCCAATTCAATTGTTTTCTTTTCCTGATTTGTAGAAAGCTAAACAGAAAATTCCATTAATTTCAAACAATTAATTTCCCATAACCAATAATAAAAAAAAAAATCTACAGTTATGCAATAAATTGATAAATTTTTTCTGCACCTAATAAATACTAATAATTAATGTCATTGTAATTTCAAAAAAAAAAAAAAAAACAAATTCTCTTTCTAATTGAATAATTGTTTTTAATTTCAGGAATTCTACAAAGTATATTGACTCAAAATACGGGAAATTTTAGTGGAGGAGGAGATGATGAAGAAGAAGAAGAAGTTCCATATTGGAGTCTTACTAATGAACTAGAACATCATATTCAACATGAAACCACCACGTCATATAATCAATTGTTGCATCAAAATTATCCGAAAAAACAAAAATTCTATCGATGTTCAATTTGCAATAGACGTTTTAGGCAAAAATGTGTTTTAAATTATCATATAGTGTATTGTCGTGAAAGACAATACAATCAGGATTAAAAAAAAATATATATATATATATGAGTTGACCTTTTTAATAATCAAATAGAATAAAAAATATAGTAAGAAATAATGTGTCTAAAGTTTTGAACGAAAAAGTTTCCAATTTTTTTAAATTCAAATTTTATTCTAAAAAATTGCATTCGATATCAAAAAATAAATTAATAATTTATTAAATGTTTAATAAAATTTTTTTTTCATTGCTGTAGTAATTTTTAAAAAAATTTGTAGACAAAAAAAAATTTCGTTCATTTGAACGTTCAGAACTTCAGGCATATATATAAGAAATATACAAATTTCATATGTAGTATTATACCTATGATATTTTAAAATTGGATAAATATACTTTTTTTCGATTTTTGCGGAAAAAAGTGGTAAACGTATTTTTTTTATTTTTTTTAAGTGTCTAAATTTTTAAAAAATCTCTGTTTTTTAAGGTTTTTTTTTAAAAATAGATCTAATTTTAATGACATCTAACATTAAAAGTATTGCATTTTGATGACAGTGAAGTAAGGTCTATACTTTTAAAATATTCAAAAACCCCAGATTTTTAAAAATTCATAACTTAAAAATTTAGGCTCTTATATAAAAAAATTAAAAAAAATACGTATATCA